CACTTCAAGTTAGAAACGCGGCACACTTCACGAGCTACTGCTAAACAAATTATAGGCATATGTTTAAGAACAAAATCTTAAACACTTAATGACTGGTCTAGAGGGAAACAGTTAATTTCGTTTCCCGAGGCGGAGCCGAGCGAAACATTGAGATGCGACGGAAACACAATGAACTGTTTCCCGAGGGACCAGTCTTAAAGTGATTTGTTACATAGCCCACGAAAAAAAACTTTTTCGTGTACAAAGTTATGAAAATAAATCTCGCCAGCGGTCAACATTCGCGGGTAGCAGTGCACTGTTACCCTGTGATGTCATAGACTTTGCAATGTTGCCCGCTCAGAGATTTTGGCGGGAAACAGTTTCAATGTTAGATGTCATGTGACCTCGAAGTAACCAATGAGAGCGCGCGCTGTTGGGAAAAAAATTCCAGCTATATAACAAATATATTTGTTGCCACAATAGAATAGCAGTGTTTTACCGTGTTTTATTGGCCCCAACATTTGACGGATCAGTGACACCATTAAAAAGCATCATTCCAAATATTGCGAAAATATAATAGAAGGCCTAAAGGGCAAGATACAAGATGACAGGTTATAACAAAAAAATAATATGCAAACGAACAAACAAACAAACAAAACGGACACTTTTTACAACTAAACCTAAGGACGGCTACAAAAAGCGTTTCATTCAATAAGGTAAAACTACCCAATTGTTACGAACTTATAACGAATAAGCACTGAACCTCTTAACAGCAAAGGCGCGCTTCGTTGGAAGAACTTAAAATGGAGCGCGACAGTTGTGAAAATGGCTAATGTCAACTTAAAGCCACTACCTTTCACTTTAAACCAACTAGCAACATAGGCCCTATATAAAAAATATAACAGTACTCTTCCAAAGAGTACTTTTAGTGTTGTATTCAGAAAGAGAGAAACTCTACTGTCTTTATTTTTGAACACGAGATGCAAATATTTCAACTTACCACTATAATACCCGCGAAAGGCCTCAAGTTTTTTAACAACTTCAACAATGTTTTGAGAATCAGACGAAGCGCCTGAAGGAAAAAGACACAAATGACAAAAAACAACAACAAAAACAAAACAAACAAACAAAAAAGGTAATAAACATTGAACACAAAAATAGGAAGAAAATCTAAACTAATCGTGAACTACAGTTTTTGACCTTGATTGAAATTGACTAAGTTAATGAGACAGAGACCAGAGATAATTGATGAAAAACTGTACGCCTTATTTTACGAACTTTAGGGGATTTTTTTGCATTTCATGCCACATGCCACCAACCCCGCTTAAATGGACTCAAAGCTCGCTAGGTCAGAATTAAAGTTTCTTGTTTGTATTAAAGCTACTTCCTGTTGGTAAAGTGATAATCTTTTGTATAGGTTTGCGTGTAATGCACGTGCAGAGTCGTTAATTTTCTCAGGAAATAGCTTTGGCTACGATTTGATCACACTCGCTTGAAAACCATCCTGAAGACTTCTAAACTTCTTTCTCCCATGAAACGCGAAGAAAGACAAACAAAAGACAAAAAATTACCCTGACATGAGGAACAATTCTTAACAGACGAAATGTGATCAAAATGTTGATGACTTGTGTTAGATTTCTCAGGTGAAACGAACTTCTTTCGTTGCTTCCGTCGTCTGACCTAAAAGTAAATACGAATATGAAAAAAATTGGGCTAAAACATCAGAATTCTAACAGGAACAAACGTATTACGTCACTAGGACCTAAATACATCTCGCGCTACGAAATGTTCAGACAGAATATTTTCGGGCGAATTTGAGCACATTTTGGCGATGTTTTTCCCCCTGAAATTTCGGAATTAACCTGAAATCAGGCTCAACTTTCGTCTCGCTTTGTAAATAAACATTCCGGCGGGAAAGGCGAAACGAAGCAATTTTAAACGTTACAATTTTGGCGCTGGCCGTTAGAGAGAATGTATGAGAACCGCTAAAATTGGGCCTGATCTCAGGTTATTTCGGAATAAGCACACTGAGCTGGAAGATAGAGTGTCTTGTCGAAATCTGAGTGCGTTTAGTTTAAACGCAACACATCACAGAAAAACCTCGAACAGAAAAAAACAAAATGATAATGTTTGCATACTTGGTAGAAGGCTGGAACTAGCCTGCAGTCGAGAATACTGCTGGAAATCTCCCTAAATAAGCCTCGACTTCATGCTATTTCTAAATATGGTCTTTTGGCGCCGCTCTTGTGTTCAAATTGAGTTGGTCGAGAAATTTAAGTTATTTAATTCTACTTACTTTGTAAAAGGAGAACCATACAGGCTGACATGTACGATCTCTATAACCTGCAAGAATTAAACGACGCATATTATCTGGAAAATTGGGACGGACGGGCGATACTGTACTTTAAACGTAATGTATACAGCATGACAATTAGAAGTGGGGATGCGAAATAAATTTAATGTGAAAAAAATATAGCGACCACACATAACTCCGAGTTTCAAACATCCTGGGTCAACAACACGTTAGCGGTCTTCAGCTTTCTTTAAGGCCGTCCCTTCCATTCACCTAAAATCTATTAAAGGTTTAACGGATAAAACGGTTAAATAATACTTACAACTAAGAACATTGTTATGGCTCCACAATAAATATTGACCTACAGAGTAGGAAAATGCAAGCATTAAAAGGTGGAGTTCTAACCTAAACATCCTAAACTTACTGCAATAGTGATCCATTTCCGAGTTACTCTTAAGCTACGTGCAAACGGGCGCAACAACTCCCAACATTGTTGGCCCAACAATGTTGGGAGTTGTTGCGTACGTGTAGGCAGTGGCGTGGAAATGGATGCAACAAGTCCCAACATAGTTGGGCCAACAGTGTTGGGGGTTGTTGCGTCCGTGTTGGCGGTGGCCTGCAAACGGATGCAACAACTCTTAACAGTGTTGGCCCATCACGGGTGTTGGTCTATCACGCAAAGTTATGGCGTTACTGTTTCCAACGAGACCATGTGTGATGCGCGTGGGTGGCCCCAACATTGTTCAAAGAGCTGTGCAAACGGATCCAACATTGTCGCGCTACACTCCGGTGATCACGGAACAAAAGAAATGTTGGGAGTTGTTGGCTCAAAACATTGACCGGTTTCAACCTTCGCACACAACTCCAAACAACATGCAACAAGGTGCGCAAACGGACGCAATATATAACATCTAACAATGTTGGGAGTTGTTGACCAACAAAGTTGCGTCTGTTTGCACAGTGCTTTAGTCTCTTTTTCAAAGCTACTCCTGACGCCTACCCTTTCACGTGAAAGTACGATTTCGCATTCGCGTTTCCTTATGAATGGTTGTGCGCCACGCCTCGTTTCGAAAAAGAGGCTAAGAGCCACTTGAAAAGGGACTGGTAAGCTTTAATTAACCTGTACTTGATCGGCTACCAAGGGAGTGGTTGATAAAACTAGGCTAAAAAGTCTCATAACAAGGCACAATGTTTTATATTTACACTAGTTCTCTCTAAAATATTAGCTGTTTTTATTTCAATATCATAGCTACTGAGTCGGGATTTTTTTATGCATTACGTCAATGAAATGCTAATAACTTTATTTGGCTGTTTGGTACGGCTACCGACAGTGTCATACCAAAGATGATCGATATCTCTGCCATCCTACGGCCCACAGCTTCAACAACTACAAGCAAAAGAAAAAATATTCATACGACTAGTCTGAGTACGTGAATTGCAGCAGGAGCAGGAGTACAGGGAAAGAGGCGGATATGCCGAGGGAAAAGAAAATATATGACAAACAGACAAAAAAACAAAATAGGACAATCCAGAGACTGCTGGAATTGACTGCCCTCATGTAAATCAATATAAAAAATTAAAATGTTAGGAAAATCTTAACTCATTCAAACCTCAACCCGTGTGAATCAACAAAGCTTCTGGGGTTTAGGATACTATCAGTTTACAGGGTCATTGACAAAGTTTAACCTCCGCAGGGGACGAGATCTTTCTAACCAAACCCGGATGAACACGATTTAGTCAAACCGGAAAAACACAAAGAAACAATAAAGTTCATCAAAAAATCCCAATAAACTCTTGATAAGCAATTCACCCGTAAGTTTTTGAAAAAAATTCACGATCCTCGCGCGGGCTTTCCGTGGAAACTTTTCCCGCCTAAAATTCTAGTAAATACCCAGCAAAGGAAAAAAGGGGGAGAACAATAACGCCTCGAGGAAAATAAAAAAGTGAAAATACACTTTTGGTCCCGTTTAGCAAAAGTGATTAGAAAATGGCACGACTAACTCAAAATTCTTTGAAATCTTTGAAATTCCTGACAGTTTTACAATTTTGATTGTCAAAACGTTTCACATAACAGCGACAGGAAGATGGTGTAAAATTTACACTGTCGTTTAAGTTACGGCCTTATGTTTGTGAGAACAATAAACAAAAGCGCGCACAGGGAAAATGTTAACTGACATTTCCTTACCTGTTCGAAGAGGTAATATAACACGAAAATTAAATTAGCAATCTGCAAAAAAACGCGAAATTATCAGGTGTCAAGGGAGTAGTAACTAACACACTGTAGCATCTACTGTAACTGAGTTAAATGAACAATTCAACTGCGCGCCAAATGACAGGCTCGATTTCGAGCCGCTGTTCAAGAAATGAGCCCGCGCTCCTTCCCCGAATCGATAGATTGATTGCTACAAGACCGCTCAATGGTTTAATCTGAAAGTCAGTGGGCGATGTCAATTTCACAAAGCGCACGAAATATAAATGTATGACAAGTGTAATCTGCCTTGCGGACTCCAGAAACTATGACAGTCCGGGCAATATTTATTTTCCTCCGACTTGCTTGACGCGTGGTTGAAAATAATCTCGATGTACGCTTGAATTCGGCGATCGATCTTGAAAATTGAAGGTATACTAGGAGATTGTTAGCAGTGTATTATTGTTGAACTTTGATGAGTGAAAGAACATTGTTCAGTAAAAATTACAAGACATGAACATCACCACTTACCGCCAAATGCGAGTTTCTGTTCACCCATATTGTGTCTTGTTCATAGTCCAACAAAACCTGAAAGTCACAGAATAACCGCGTACGAATTGTCGTGCAGGCTCTATAAGTAAGCTTTTTTAACCCGTACCTTATGGACGTTTAGGGGGCCAACAAAGGATTAACAAATAATTGCGTCGAGGGAGTCAAAGACTCCGAAGGTTCATGTTCTGCATGCAATGATCTTGTAACAAAAGCTTTGACATAAATTTTAAACGAACCTCCTCAGTGTCTAAAGAAAGATGCTAAACATTTGTCCTCAATCTTTACTACGTTTTTACCAAAATACTGTCTTAAATTCGTAGCAAGCTAAATTCATCGAATTCATAGCAGGCTCCAAGGCGTCATGTTACTGATGTATTATAAAGACTGGGCGAACAATCTATGTTAGTCTGCGTAGAAGGTGTTTAAAGGAGAAAGAAAGCGGGAAACAAAGACGCGCGAGGAAGGAGGGAAGGAAACTAAACACGTGTTTTTCCCCTCTCGTGCGCCTTTATTCCCCCGGGGGGAGGGGTATCCCGTGTAACGTTCTACTTGAAAACGTTCTTCTCGAAAACTTTTTCAGGCTTCAGGCAAAGGTAGGGATTTATCATTCACTGGTTTCATTCTTTAAAAGTAGGTATGTGAAAAGGGTGCAAGTGGTTGGACATTAAGACTGAGCCTCCCCGTAGAAGACTTTGTTGCGTAGCCCCCTACCCCCCCCCCCCAAAGGGGGGTTAAGTTTTCCTTTCCATGTCCAGGCTGTATTCCTGGGGTCACGTTTTAAATTCTGAGAACCAATAGGGGGCTTTCATACTTACAGACACGAGTAGTACGTTCACTGCCGCCACAAAATCGCCGGTGTAATCAAATAATTTGTTAGAGACAAAGATCTGAACCTTTCTTAGTACTCTGTTCTCTACAAAGCTCATGGCTGGTCTTGCTCGACGCCTGATTCCCTTGTCTAGTACATCAAACAAGTCCTGGAATTGCTTTGCCGTTAGGTGACCAGTTGGATGTTGAGTCAAGGACTACAAAAGCGAAAAGAAAAGAAAATACCTTTTCCATGACTACTCACTTCCTTGGAGACCTATGAGCGAGCTAGTTAGTTAGGTAGGGGTATTACAGCCGCGGCGAGCTTCCAGAAATTTCTCTTACCGAGCCATTTCGAGAAGCATCTGAAAGCATCCTAAAGAGGTTGTATCACGGCTAGCCTGCGAGCAAGCTGTCCGGGCGCTCGGGAGAGAGAGCCTCACCCTTGGCGTGTCTCCCTCGCGCGCGCCCGTTCTCTCTTTCGCCCACAACTTCCAAGCGCCTGCTACGCAGGCTAAGAGTGGATTCATCGGGTCATTTAATCTACCATGATCCGAGTGATCTCGGATCACTGATCCTGATCCGGATCATTTCAAAGGAACGCACCCTTTGATCTCGAAGAAAGTGGCGAGAAATGTTTCAGCCGAACACAAAGAAGAGTTAAGTACAACAAGAACAATCACGGAATTGTCTCAACAATCAGTTGAAACTGTTCAAAATGCAACTAGAAGCTCCAACAGGTAACAAAATATTCTTAGTTCTTACATAAAGCACGCGTTGTCCACCTCGTGAGCCAATCTTTGCTCTTTCAATGGCTTGCCTCGCATCTGCAGTACTTATCGTTCCTCTGCAATAAAAACCATGATGTCTATATTCGAGTACCATTTCCAAGACAAAGAAAGTAAAGGTACAGAAAAACAGGCATCAAAAAACCTGCAACTTGTTTTGCAACATTGCTGCAAAACGATGAGTTGAATAGTAATATATATTACTCACAAAGGGAGGTCGCTGTCTGTATCTTGAATTTGAAGAAGAACCTCAAAAGAAGCTCTAATACCAACTCTTCGACGGAAGAAACTTGCTTGCAGTGAGCTCTTAAAGAGAGTGAAAAATAGTTTTCATTTCCCGGGAGACATAAACATCATATAAGGACACTGAGTTTTCTAGTATCCATTCGGCACTTTTTCTCCGTTTTTCTGCTCCCGACAATATTCGCTACTGAAATTGACCACTTTTGAAGTACCTCTGCTTAAAATGGATCTCTTGATCTCTCGTTAACCCAATTGTTACAAGTCTTTGGGTATGTGAAATTCTTTGGACAGGCAAAGAAGAGAGTTATCTAGCATTGACTGTTTCAAAGCTAAACTACAAAGCAGACTTCTTTGGTAGATAGTGTAAAGGGGCCTGTTTAAAGGTAGTTTAAGACCTCCTTGCAAATAGTTTGAAGTTTTACTTATGAATATAGCATAAGCCACGAGTTACATTGAAATTCAATCATATTTTACTGAGTTTTTTCTAAACACAGTTCTGCTGAAATTTTTCTGTACGGTGTATAAATAAATGCTGCTACCATAAATTCAAAACACAAGGATATTATATCCGGAAGCAAACTGAGAATTTGACATCCACTCGCTCAACAGGACTTACGGTCAAAAATCCTCTGAACTGATTGTAGATAACAGCAGTCAACAGATTCAAAAAGAAGTAAAGTCCTGTAAGAAAGAAAAGAGCACCATTAACTTTAAAGCATGAAGGGCAGTGCTTTTTTTCTCTTGGCCTGCAACAACAATTGGCGACAAAATTGTTGAGACATTATTGTAGTCAAATAGGGTAACTTCAGAGAACAAATGACATACCTTTCTCCCCTCCCCTCCATTCTAGTTCGAACAGCGGCACGACATTGCATGGAGGTGATCAGAGAGGAAAAGCTTTTATTTTCCCCTTCTGAAGCCAGTAAAACGTCAGAAATTCCGATGAGTGAAGTGTCTCAACTAATTTTGTCGCCGATTGTAGGTTCTCTTATAAGAGAGCGAGCCGCGTAGCCCCCAGGTGTATTTAACAATCATTCTTCGAGCCGGAATGGGCTCTGAGTCAATAGTCGGCCTCAAGCGCTATTGACTCAGAGGCCATGAAAGCGAAAGGATTAATTGTTTTAGTAAAACCCAACTAGTTGGTCACAAATATCGAGACAAAACAACTTTAGCTAGCAAAGCGCGATTCAGCCGCCATTGTTTTGGTTTTCAAAGCGGGCGCTTTTCGCTACTAGTGGGCTATAACATATAGCCTAGTAGTAGCTCAACCAATCAGAACGCTGCATTGATAACAGACCACCATATGGATGTTACTAATCACATTTTTGTGCCTGCCATCTTACGATCTGTAAAGCACATTATAATACTGCTGAGTCTAATAAATTGACAATATAGCCTAGATTTTACCAGGATGATATTTCAATGTGACTTCTTTTCTTGTGCCTACCTAGGCTACCGCCTACACTAACCGAGGGCCACACGCATTGTAATTGACATTGAAAATTGATGAATAAATTTGTTGCTTAGGAAATAGGTTGTTGCTTTGTGTAAGTACAAACCGGAAAGAATTGCTAAGTCGGTAAACTAGGTGTCTACAAAATCTATATCATCGACATATAAAAAAAGTAGTTTTGAAAAAGATTAGAGAACTGTTCTAAGTAGCTGGTTACAAAGGGGAAAGAAGGCTTTAATTGGCTATGTAATAAAGCTTTTAAAATAAGACTTAACAGGACTTACCAACTATAGTAAATGTCACAAAGAACACAGCATACCATCTGTTTTTCATATACGCGTGCATCATTACTACAAGAGAATTTATTAAAGAAGAGGTAAATAACAGTCTCTAATGGGTTCTGCGGCAAACGACAATTTGTCTGGCTGATGATACTCTGCAGTGAAATGAGTATGCTCGAAGATGCACATGTCAACAAAATAGATACGTCACAGACCTCTTTCATAATGGCGGCCCATCAATTAATTCCTTTACTTGTATAATATAAAAGAGCCTTTCTGGTCTCGTTTGAAAGTAAGAATTCTTTTGTATTTTGCACATGCTAAAGGGGTCAGAAAGGCTAACTATCATACATAATAAAGAACATGTTAATGGACCGCCATTATTGAAGAGGTCTATATATTTCCAATTCAACCATTACCCAATCACAGCTTACATAGTGGCTTCACCAATCATAGCGCATATTGGTTTCTCAATTCAAACGATCGTAAAACTCTCAGCTCAGTGTTCAAAAGTTGATGGCATCAAAACTTAGGAGGGGGAGGGGACTAGCCAGGCTAGTCCCCTCCCCCTTCTAATTTTTGAATCACAGGAGGTGTGGTCGAGGACTGAGTATTACGACTGGCAACGAACTAGTACTGGCTGCAGACGCTTCCCTCATCGGTACTTACCCAGCGCTCCGTGCCAACTGCGAGAGTGGAGCAAGCGGTTAACAATATGCAATCTTTTTACTGAGCGCGCGCGACATGTCACTTTCGTTTCGCCATTACTTATTTCTTGTCCTTTTTCGTGCACAACAGACTTTTTCCCTGCGCATTCTGCAGGGACCTAAGAGCCAAAGATTCCCCACTCACCATCTGGGTTATTAGCAGTAGTCAAAAGGACCAGAAGACTTCTTAGTGAAACTTCAAACGACGAAAAGTAGTAATAGCCTTCACAATTCACACCGAGTTTTAAATCCTTTCTCTGGGAGCCACACTCAGTTTCCTGCAAAACAAAAGAATACGTACGTAAGCAATACATAAATGTTTAACAAGGCAAACTTACATCAGTTTACCGTACACTCACACTAGCTTATGTCTTGGAAAATCGCGGAAAATAGCAAACATTAAAAATAAAAGTACATTACCGCAAGGGTACTGTTTTTCCTCAGCTTAGACTTCAAGTTGGCGAAAAAATCACATGAAAAACAAAAACAAGATTGATCAGCCTGGCAGCACAAGTGAATTTCATTTAAGTGGGTTCTTTAATACCTGAGGCTCGCCGACCAGAACTGAAGCAGGCAATAAACCGAACTAATCTAAACTCGAACAGAAAGCATGTGACTTGCGCCAAGACTGAGAAACGCGTGCGAATCAGGAATAGTTTTCATTTTTCTCTTGACTGTCGCCAAAGTGGCGGGAGATTTTTTAGCCAATCAACTGACGCATTTCTCCAAACTCAAAGCAAACTAAATCACGGTCAAACTGAACTGTATTGGAAAACCACTAGTAAGATTATCCTTACGCGATTTCTCCGTAACGCAGGTCACGATTCTCGTAGCGTGCGAAGCTTTGCTGAATCAGAACTTCTTATTAATTAGGCCCCGTCTACCCTAATGCGTTTTCGTTTGAAAACGCATACATTTTGATGCGTTTAGGCCTTCCGTTCACACTTATACGCTGAGCGTTTTCATAAAAAACGCATTGATTTGAAAACGCTCTTGAAAGTGGATCAAAACGAGAACGCATGCATATCTGATTGGTGTAAACGGTCGAAAACACAGCAAAAAGAAAACGATGACTGAAAATATCGCAGGCGTATGTTTTTGTAGCATGTGCGTAGAGTTCAACTTACGTCATAACGTGCAATTCTATCGTTTTCAAACGTTTTAGTGAGGACAGTCGAAAACTCATAAAAACGGTAGTGAGGACGCGAATCGATCGATGTGTTTTCGATGACAACGAAAACGTACACGTTTGAAAGCGCATTAGTGTGGACAGGGCCTTCGTAAAGATTAAGTGACCTACTTGTGGAAACAAAAGCATGCCACACATGGCAAAGAACCACAAATGAAGCACCAGAAGGAAAAGCACACTGAAATTGAGAGACAAATATGTTAAGCCAGTTGTACAAGCAAAGGTAACTGCTATCAGCTAAACGAGAGATGTAAGTGATGACGTCCGGCCTTCAGTCTTGTCCAACTACCCCGGGATTCGCACCCAACACCCTGGTACAACTCATAACAGCTCCTGCAGGCGTCTAAATTTACTCAACAGTGTAACTTTTGTTCCTTTCTGAGCTTTGTCACTGGCTCTCCGTCGGAGCGAATTGATTTGATTGCTCTACGCAGAGTTAAACACAGACACCTGTGCTGACAAAGACAAGTCAATTCCTATTACACGTTACTAAAAACCCTCTGAATTTTTTGGATATCTCTACAAACTATAAGGCAACTCTTGTTAAGTTTTACTAACAAAACGCTGAAAATGTTTGAAAGTAGCAGAAACCTTACTGATCATGACGTCTTCTCTATAAAACTATGCAATGATACCTGAGAATTTCCGGAACAGTTCTTCTTATAGCACGCAGCTGTAAGAAGACAATACACAGTCAAAAGATTAACTTCAACACACAATAACTCCTTGACAAAGGGGCAACAAAATCTACTTCCAAACCCAAATCAAGTCGATTATTCCAGACATGCCCGAAGAGCAGTTGAAAAGAGTAATCGTTTACCAGAAATTGTCTGATGAAATTTTTTTAACACGTCTAGACCCTGGGTAAATAGCTTTACGAAAGTGCTGACGAGCTTGGTGCCTGTACAGAAATGCATGCCCTGCATTCGCTGCCAAAAGCATTAACAAAATCCCCTCCCTAGAGGGAAAGCTAAGGGAAACGTGCGTCCACGAAGGTCGCGCGAGAGAGGTAAACGAATAGAAAGTTCCTTCCTCCTTCCTCGCGCGTCAATCGCGTTCGCGTTGAATAAAGTTTGAAAAGTTTTATTTAATAAATTTCATGATGTAACTCTTACGCTTTATGTAGACCAGAACTCACCAGTTTCTTCATCAGTGAGGAATTTTGTATCAAAAAGAAAGGCCTAAGAAGTCTGCGGATCCTGACAGCCTGAGAAGAAATCATTACTACTGCATTATACACTTGTGTGAACATGACATAATTATGCATGATAGTTTTTGTGGTGATCTAATACTCATCATAGACAGTACTTTTTTGGTCTAAAAGTTAATTTGCTGCGAGTATATGGTTACGGTAATGAATCTGGAACTAGAGCAAAATAGAAGAATTATAACCTCTTAGCTCGGTCCACACTACAATTATGCTTGCGTTCGGACGTCCTCTATTTCGTTTATTGCACGCGGAAAAGGGACTGCATGCAGCAAAGGAAATAGCAGACGTCTGCAAGCAGAATACACTGCAACCACCTCGGGCCAACACTAAGTAGGCTGATTTAGCAACAGAACGAGAACGTCAGTTGGGGACGGCGCGCGCAAATCAAACAACTGGCGCTTGACCAATCGCAGAGCGGCAAATTGGGCACCGGAAGTAGCGTTTAGTCCCTTCTGCGGGCTTTCTCGTCGTCAACTGGCATTCCCGTTCTTTTACTAAATCAGCCTTAACCAGACAAGGTTCGCGAGTCCCTCCGGTGTAATGCCCGGCACTTTGTGAAGGTGGACAGAGAAACTAATCATTTCTCTTTAAGCTAGTCTTGCCCTTAAGTCCACTTTTCTGATCGACGAAGTCCCGAAACAGAGCGACCGACTCAAACTGACTTTTAGAAAGTCTAAGTGCAAACCTAAGCTGTTTTCAATAACTATGGTTTATGAGAAATGGTTGATTAACGTTTGGTAAACAGCTTAAGTTAATTATCAGAGAGTTTAAGCTTCACGTAAACGGCAAACGTCAGATTCAAGTTGAGAATATTTCAAAATAGAAAATGAGCAAATAAAAACAGCTCCAAACAATTCTATTGGATAAAAAATTGTGTGAAACTACTAGTTCATGTGTAGAAATAATGAACAGTAAACGACAAGTAATGGGGAAACTTGGTCACGTGGTACAAATTCGCGGTTGCCGTTTGACGTAAACGTGAAGCTTAGCCTCTATGAAAGCAAACTTAGTTACCTCACTGCAGCCAGTACTAAGGGACACAAAAACGTCAATAAAAGAAATCGTGAGAACCAAACAATAACATAAAAGCCATCTGCTTTTGATAAATTCCTGCCTTCCAAGAACATGGCTCTGAAAAACGGGTCAATAATTGAAATTATAAAAAAGTTCAGATATATTATGCGCTCTGATTGGTTGAAAAAGTGTGCTTTATGGGAGTATGAAACACGGAGCTAAAGTTTTGAGAATTAGAAAGTAATGCGCAGGGTACTTAACGGATTCCTTTATCATAAAACAAATAAAAAAAGCCTTGACTGTGCTCTTTTCTGTTGCGTCTTGTGTTTCCCCCTATACTTCTTTCGTGCTCTAGCCGCGTCCTGCGTGCTTTACAACAGAACAGAGCACAGTCAAGGCGTCCCTATTTGTTAAATAACCAACTGTCAACAAAGTAAGCAGTGTCTGTTTATTTTCTTAATACAATAAAAGTACTGCTTTTTTTCCAAGGTAAAAAACAAAAATCAACATCATGATTAAAATTCACGCTTCTGTTACTCTCTCACCCATGCCCAAACAGCTCAAAGCTTTCATACATTAAGAAGTTGGTCTTTTAAAGCCCTAGTAGTATACACAAGACCTATCATTTTATACCCTTCTCTTCTGCATTTTTTTTTTTTGGCAAAATCAACCTAAGAATGTGGGAATGTTTAAAACGCCTTCAATTGGGTCAGCTCTAGACAAGATTTCTTTGATTTGTTTTATGGAATTACGACAATGCAGCACATTTCAAAGAAGGTACAAGTTGAGAGTGAGTGTTACCTTGACAACTAAATCACACACAAAACAAATGAGGAAGAAGAGTTCCAGGCTCTCTGTGACTCCACAAGGAGGGTCAGGTCTTTTAGCACGGAAACGAGGATCAGAAGATGACCTTCAAAGCAATATTGTTAACAACAGGGCCAGTGATCACTAGTTGAAGCAGTACAAAATAATTCTGGGTATGAAATTATTAGGCTACTTAAATATTTTGAAGGAAATTCTTTAAAAGCTGTGCAGTCATAGCTTACTCATGAAAACTGATTATTTGACACTTTTTGCCTCCAGTGCTGAAAATGGGAGAAAAGGAAATATATCTGTAGCGGATGCTATTGTAACTTTTTCTCCATCAAAGGGCCATGATCCTGCAAAGGCTTAAATATACACCTTGGGTGTGCAGCTTTGGTACTCATATGTTTGGAGCTACTTGGATAACCCGAGTGGAACACTCCCTTTTATGGCCTGAAGAGGTAGTGCCGGTGAACAGGGTATGGTTTTGGGGGTTTTGAGTCTCAAACAGGGTTAACTTATAATTTCACTTTTTGGCATCTTTGGGTGGAAGCATATTAAAGCAGGTGTGAACATTGGCAGTGGACCAGGATACTAACAATGATACTAACAATTTTTGTCGAAAACAAGTTAAACTAATAAGATGTGATGTCAGTGGTAAAAATCACATAAAATTATTCTGTACCTGTATGGGCTGTGAAAAATGGTCATTTGTCTTGAGCAGGGTAGTGAAATGAATGATTTTTAAACAGAGTATCGAAGGTAGTACACACCCAAACTTCTCTTAAGTGCCAACACATCCACCCTGGGATGCCATAAACTTTGAACTTTAATTTCATCAGAATAGCCAAACAGTTTCAAAGTTTTTATTTTTCAATTTGATAATTCTTATATTAAAAAGTTCAACCTTTACCACCTGACACCTCGCGTAGGTACACAGCTCCCATAAAGTGGATACAGTCACGGTCCAAGCAGCTTTCAAACACTCCATTTTTAACCTACCTTTGGGGTGGTGTTAAATGGATGGCCAATTTTATACCACTCAATTGTCCACATACAGCATATTTGACTGTAATTTCATGTAGTTGGCAAAAGCATACCAGTAATCCATAGTTTAAGGCAGAGATAATTTTTTTTTAGGAAAGTAAATTGAACCCAGTTTTCAATTCTACAAATTAACATCATCATTTTCAGGTACTTTAATTTTATAATTCTTTTTTAGGTACTCACGTAAAAGAAGAAGGCTTTTCGACAAACGCCAACATAAGATTCAGAAATATGATAAGGGAGAATCCCCTAAAGAAAAAAAAAAGAAAAGTAATCATTTTTGCATAAAAGGTACCATCCACGTGGTGTCATGTTTTCTTCTTCTATCTTACTCTGAAACCCTTGTGTAGAACTTTGCAACACATCCAGAAGCAATGAACTCAAAAAATGTTTCTGGAACTGGTTGACAAGAGCCCATGCCCATGCAGGGGCTGCCATTATTGCGGCAAACGTTGCCTGAGATTATTTCAGCCGTCAATTCATATTTCCTAGAAGGTACATTTGTACTCCTCAGTTGTGGCTAAGAATAGAATTGTTGATGTAATATATCAAGCATGAGAAGCAGTGTTTCATCACTAGATGAAATGCTGAGAAGAGAGTTGAAAATATGACGTGCAGCGGAGCATTTTTGACAAACTTCGAGGTGTTTCCTCTGGTGATGAAACACTGTGTTGAATGCTTGATATTACTTCTCAAACAAAATGATTTTAGAAGGAGAATTTAAGGGTGCAAAAATGAGCAGTTTTTCATCTGATTTCCAAACACTCATTAAACATTAATTTCCTTTGTATTTTCTTTGTGAATTATTGATGAGTTTGAGAAGTTGTGAGTCCAAACTTGGTCCAGAGCACCAGTCAGTAAAATCAAGCTGGCTGTGTATGGCGATCTTTACCTCAGTTGAAATTTTTGCAACCTTGGGGTGTTAAATTTATTGGCCTTGACTCCTACATCTACTCGCATAATTTTCAAGGCAACTTATACCCATCTAGCCATTATTTAAAAAGAGTAGCCACCAGAAAAAGTGGTTCAACCTTTCTGATTAAACTGGGGTGGGATGTATAACAGATAAATGTTAGATTTTGTAGACAAGGGGCCAAGATTCTATGATCATGACACTGACGTAATTAATCATCATCATTAATAAATATGGGTTTGAATTCCGTCTAGGTCCAGAAATTTTTTGAGTTAATTTGCAATTGTTTAAATTGCAATTACACTGCAATGATCATATCTTCCTTTACATTTGTATTTCTGCAGTTCACATGATCCTCACTCTCTGCAACATTTTTGTTAGATTATCTGTATATGATGCACTTACCATCGAACAGGTTTGCTGTAGTACAATCTGTACATCCACAGAGACTTACTGTCCATTTTGTGGTGGATTGATCTATACTGCAAACCAAAACATAAGTTGCCACCAGTGATTTAAGTTGTTACACATGAAGCAAGTGATGGTGGGGGAGAACAGGGAGGCAGGAGCCCAGAGGAATAAGGAGAGAAAAGCTGGGAGACGGGAGTTCTAAAATGGCAGGAAGCAGGAGAAATTACCTGGCAATACTTAATTTTTGTGGGATCAAAAAAGGAGTAAAGGGAGGACGCCACAAAAAGGGTGGAGGCCGGGAAAGCAAAGCATGATGGGAGGTGGGAGATTTGGACATCCCCCCCACACACACACACACACACACACGGATGTAAAAAGGCTTGTTTAGGTATGAGCCTGAAATAGATTAATGAACACAAATAAGATTTAATTTGTAAAGCAACCTTTAATGCAAGTTACTGAGTCAATGGATTTCATAATCCTATAGTTAATGTTTAAAACAATTTTTCAGTTTTGTTAGAAATTAATGCCTCCTTAGCTCTACATAGCTGCAAGTGCACAGTAACAATAGGCACTAATACCTAACAAAATAACTTCAGGGTTCAAAGATATATTATATTTCTAACACTGTTCTGGAAGATAGCAGTAAACAAAATACATATTTACAGTGGATGTAAAATTGGTTACCTTAGCAGCATCTTCAAGAAAAACAGCTGCTTGGTTGATTGCATGTTCTATCGGCGATGTATCTGATACAAAACATATCAACAAATGAGTCCATATCACATTATTTTGACAGCCTCCATTATTAGTCCTCAGATGCTTATATCATTATAATTCTTAGAAAAGACTATTCTAAACATTTTCTGAAAAATCTACAAAATTGCTATCACATTCCACCCCTTCCAGCCACCACTCTCCAGGCTGGCCAATGGCCAGTTACCTCTGTTTCCAAGGTAGAAGTTGTGGAGAGGTTCGAATTGACCTTAGTATCCACAGCTAAAGTATTGGACAACAACCATGATTTTTCAATAGACACTAATTGTAGATAATGTAAATTCACCAAAGTATGATATCTTGTGTAAAAAACTGGGATTGAAAGCTAAGGACGCTTTCCATTCAACAAAAATTCCAGTATGAATTTTGGAAATTCCATGTTCCCAATGGAATGTACATTCCAGTTGCACAGACCCAACCCAAGCCTCTGTGCATTTCATTATTTTACTCGTAAACAATACACAAAAGAACAGTATACTAGGAACAATAAGGCCTATCTAGATCAAACGTCAAATTTTTCAAGAGGCGAACCAAACTCTAATTTGGGTTGACCTAAATAAAGTTAAGATCATCTGTTATGGGTCAGACATCAAACTTAGGATGTGTTAAACCAATCATATCACTAAGAAATTCTCTTCGGAACGAGGCTAAATAACAGGAAAAAATAACAGATTCCCATTTTTGGATATTTTTGGATATTTACAGAATACCCACAAAAAACCCAAATTTGGAAGAGTGAGACAAGTCCCAATCTGGGAACTTGGTTGGGAATTCCCTGGTTGGGACTTAATTGTCTCACTTTGCCAAATTTGGGATTTTTATGGGTATTCTTTAAATACCCAAAAATATCCAAAAATGGGAATCTGTTATTTTTTGCTGTGAATATACATTATCATACAAATCTTTAATCCATTAGTTTAGTTCATCGTGTGTGAAGATCGATGTTTGTCGTGGAGACAATCCTTAGATGTTCTCTCCATCTGAAGCAGATGGACAGAATGTGTTGGACAATCTAAACTCCTTCAAATGAACTTAACCGAGCCAGTCACATGACGTACAAACTTTTCATGAACTTGACTCACTAACGTTGGTTTGTCTCATGAAAAGTTCGATGTTTGGCCTCGGCCTAATTATGTCATATCGAAAACGACACTTTGGTCTGACTGGTAAGAGAGGCCCTGCTTGAGGGGGTACCATGTCGCCTGTCTGAATTTTAAAACGTCTCGTGTTGGTGTTTATAAATGCTTGTCGCTTACTGTCGGCTTTGCGATCACTGTCGCAATTTGGCCAAGGGAGGTTGTCTCTTGTCGCGATTTCACTTTACGCGCTGCCGCTACTTTTTGGGCCGTGTCGCTTGTCGGAATTTACCCTGGCACGGCCTCGTAAGACCGGTCACGTGGGCCTCCTTCAAAGGTGGTTCCAAATTTTAATATTCCAGTTGGACCGAAAAATTTGATTTCCGGCCAAAATTTTGGAATTTTGGGCTGAATGGAACGCGCCCAAAACTTAAAGATCACTCTCGACGTTCGACATTCTCTAACACAGCCAATCCTCCAGGTTGCCAGTATCTGCCTATCAGCGGGCATATGTCTGTACCGGCTGTTCATCAGCCAACCAGCTGTAAATCGATTTTCTACCAAAACTCTTTTCAAGCCGACTCAAACTGAGTTATAAATCTCCACTCTAAATTGCCTGTCATTATTATAAAGTAAATTGCCAGATAGAAACTGGCAAGCTTTACTGTGAAAACGGACACGTCCAAGTAAGTTGCACAATTATAATATTATTCCACGAAGGTTCCAGTTCGTCCCAGCCGGTTTATTGACTTCGAATATCAGTTTCCAATCAATTTCGATGACGTATCTCCGCAACAGTGCCGGACAAATTGTACTAATATTTGGGATACGATACGAATTCAAAATGTGTAATGTCCTTACCGTCACTTTCCACGATTGGGCTCTGAACTTCCATTGGTTCCATTTATTTCGTAATAAGGGGAAAGACGCTCAAAAAGGCTAAAATAACAACAACATCCTCATACTCACGAGACAGGTCGCTGACCGTTCGCGGTTCCAAGCCGTTCCACTCATTCCCATTCCCCCGACCGAGCCAGGAATCCGAATGCTGTTGGATAGTAGCGCAGTTCCAAATAGTGGAACGAAACCAGCCAATTTTGATTCGTTAACTGATTTTCATTTTATCAGTGTTCAAAATTAATGAAACTTTGATCGTAAACTGGAATGCAAACACGGCAAATACTAAACAGCTTTCCGTGTCCGAAACGCCGGTTACCGGGAATTTCGAGAAACGCGCCCTGCAGGCCCGCGGCGAAGTGAGGGGAAAAGGCAAAAACAAACAAAAACAACAACAACAGCAACAAAAACGGGGCGAAACAGGGAAAATCCGCTTGCAAAGCGAGTCGAGAGATGGACTGGCTGGCACTCGCCGATTGTGTTTTTTTCTTCGCCCTTAACCAAATTTTTCTTTCGTCTAATTTTTCCGCTCAATGCGGAGCTTGTCCAAGGGTACCTCGACCTAGCCTTGTTGCGGTGCTGTGCGGTGTTGGCTCCCAGATAGTCGGGTACACAGGAAACCAAAATGTGACACCCACGGGCATTTTTGTCGGATTTTTGGAAACATAGCTATTCTTATTAACTTGCATGCCTTTGTGGGCATGCTCTCAGTATGATGTATGACATCACCATATTTGAAAACCTCCGTTTTTGTCCGTCCACACGACTCACTATAATCCGGCGTTTTCAAAAATCTCCTCTCTAGAGATCGTTTTCGAAAACCTGTGATTTTGGTGCCCAAACCCCGTTTAAATGCGGGACGTATGGCTAAAACGGAGAGAAAATCTTCGTTTTCAAAAACGTTCGGATGCGCGGCATGCGAGAGGACGGAGCATAAGCAACCACAACGGCGACGGCAACGAGAACGTCTTAAAAACAACAGTTTAAATAAGCAAAACAACAAACTCTGCACACTTTCTGGCACATTTCTTTGCAGTGCTGACTGCACGGCTGCGACGTTCCTAATTTCAAGTTTTATGGATGACGTACTGCACATGGTAAACACTGCATATGACTTCTCTTTTCACTTTCTTTTTTGAACTTTTGTCATGCGCCGTGAGAATTCAACTTGAGCACTAACAAACTAAAAAAAAAATCGCAAATCGAACGCGATTGAATTGCCGAGTGGTGAGATTTGAATTGAGGAACCACACCTGGCCTTTTCAGAGACGTTTTTACTGCCGTCAGCTTCGTAGTTGCTTAACTGCTCCCTGTTTCCTAAGAAATCGGGGTGAGGGGCTTAAAACGGGTTCTTAAAACAAAGATTTTACACTTTACAGGACGGAGGCAGCGATCATGAAGCGACAAATATGAACAGGTTGCTTTTATTTTTTGTTAAAAACTTGTTACCGTTGCCAAAGTAAATAAAAGTAACTCTATAAGAATCTATCATATTAAAATATGATAAATGTCTCTCTTGTCGTCTATTCGAACAGTAAATACTAAATATATACACCGCAATACGTTAAAGTGGATTATCTGGTCAAAAATGACATATTCCATGGATCTCTCAGAGAAAACTAGAACAAGGATAGTGTTATTAAAAGAATCTCATTCTCTTGGTAAAATACCTTTCTCATATATGAAATTCTTTTAGACCACCTCACAGTAAAAAGGCGAGGTTTCTGGATAAGTAAATGCTTACAAAATTGAGTCGAGGCATAATAATCTGGTTCTAGCATCTAAGAAGTAGGAACTAGCAAAGATATCTTATTCTATGATCACCATCCATTACTGAAACTATTTATGCACGGTAGATTTGGAAAAGTACCCTGTTAGGAGAGGTTTCTCTATTGCATGGCTTTTAACGTTAATACGAAGTCGTTCGCGCGGCTTGTCTCTTTGCGTAGTTGGTTTGTTAGACAAGCTACGCGAATGACTTCGTAAACGCTAAAAGCCATGCAAAAGAGAAACCTCTTCTCGTAGGATATGGAAAAGTTGATTACATACAGAATGTTACCATTATTTTTAATCATATTAGCCATTAATTAAATTGTTCTTTGAATTTAAAAGTATTTCTAAAAATACATAAATGTTTTTGTAGTTTTAATTGTATTTTACTTTTTCACTCCTGTTTCCGCACAGGATAAACGTTCATTTTTCTTCTTTTGGTTGCTATTTCTGTTTCAAAAAATTCTCATATGCAATATGCTACCAGAATTAAGGCGAAACTTTAAATCCTGACGATCGATAATCTCTTGTACAAATTAGTTTCCTTTTGCCCGAAGAAAATTAAAATATTTACATATTTGCAGCTATCAAAAGCAATTATTATATAACTTGATCAGAAACATTAATTATTTCTTCAAAACATTTGTCTTCTCCGTCTCTCTCTCTCTCTCTAGCACGGTGTTTTTCGCTGTTTTATAGAATGTTCAATAGGTAAACGGTCGACTTCCTTTGACCAAGAAAAAAGAGTTTCACCTCCCAGAACCATATAGGTTAAGCAAACTTGTTCCAACCATTAAACGAGGGCAAATCCCATTATGATCTCTTGATCATGGGTATTTCCCCCGATATAGGTATTACCTCATGGATGTTTAAGCGCCAAATAACTACTGTGCCTACCATAACAGGCTAAATACTGCCTGGGTTACCAGAAATTGCGTGAACATTTTAACAAAAGAGCCTTAGTACAAGACAGTCAGTTAATCCAAGGTCATTTTGGGCTTTTAATTTAGCCCAACCCCACTCAAGCCAGAGGTGCTTGTTTAACTGATGTATTTCCCCTACCCCAACCAACCCGCGCTGTTCCTTTCAAGATCTAAACTGAAGTGGTTTCGCTACTGAGCTACCACCTGGCTACTACTTGAGATGTTTCTGAGCTTACTCCGGACTGAGCATAAAAAGCAAGTCTTCGTAATGTTTTGTAGACCAGCGTGCAAATGTTCTAAAACCGTTGTACTTTGCATCACCAGTTCTTGCATACGGCTTAGAGGTTATTGTTTTCCCTCATTCTGTCCAATCTAGCAGGAATGGTCTGTCTGTAAATTGCTTTCTTTTTCATGAGGCTATATAAAGAAAGAGAACAAAACTATTTCAATAATGAGAGTAACCCAGGTTTGTTACTACGATCATTGCGAATGATATTAAGAAGTATTATACCACTGACTTCAGCTTTAGAATCAGTTAACGTAATTAAAAAACACTCATATTTGAATTCCGATATTCAGCTTAAGGCTAAGCCTACAATCAAATCTCTCTATGACAGACACCTTGGTGACCGGCACAAAAGCGTCCATTTTACAGAGGTGTCCGTCTTATAGAGAGTCAAATAAAGGGAGTAAAGAAAGGCAGGGACCAGCTCTAGGTGTCCGTTAAGAGAGAGTCAACTGTAAATGATTATAGGGAAGTAGAGAGTGGTTGTTATTTTAAAACATTTTTGCTTATTGGCCAAATTTCAGTCTGTGGGTTCTAAATTCGTTGTTTCTTAAATGCACATTTTTATATGCTTGCAATATGTTTAGTTCCTGCCAGTATTCAAGTCCATTGTCTCTAGTCTTCATGAAGCTCCAGGATAATCTTGCGAAAGAATTTTCTTCGATTTATGCAGATTTTCGTCGGGGGAGGAACTCTCATATAAAAAGTGACGGGGATAATCAATGTCTCGCTTAGGGGTGTAAATTGCAAATTTTGGTCTCACTTAGGACTTGGTCTAGCACGGAAAGTCACTATATTTTGCCATTCAGGTATCGCTCAGAGCCCTGCTTAAAGAAATTTGCAAAAATGCCGTGATGTCTGTTTTAGTATGGTCTTCTTTAGGGGTCAGTTTAAGCTTGAGCCACACCCACATTGGCCTCCCTTAGGGGTTTACTTTAAATTTTTTGACGTGCATCCCCGCCCCTTTATATAGGAGCCATGGACCCCCGGATTTTCGTTTCATTCTAACCGAACATTAGCGTACAATGGCGTTAAAACTCTCCAGTTAACTAACCATTTCAGACAAGTCCCTGTTTGTGTTCCGGTGCTTTTCATCTCGTTTGTTTTTCTTCTTTCGTTTTCCAAAGAAACCTTACGTAGTCTATTCAGTTCCGTCAGCAATGCTCTATAGACAATGCAACAGAATAGGAATAGAAAGAATCATATATGAATAACATTGTTACCTGAACACAGTTTCGATTCAACAAAAACATGATTGCAAAGTGAAGGATGGAAATTGTCCAAGATTATCAGGAAAAACAAGAACAACACAAGGGAAAAATGTGTCCTAACTTGTCCTGAAAAGTATCTTTCTAAACTTCTCGGCAGCGGTACGGAAACTATCAAAGGTGACGAAACTTTGGAACTGTTAATTATAAAAAGTTCGATTAGACAAATTTTTGCTCTCATTAGAAGAACCGTATAGCTCTGCATTATCAAAGCACATGATATATAGTATTCGGTTCTATTCGCTGAACGCGTCTCAAAACATAAACTGCAGATAAATTCATCTTACAGGGGAATCATTACTTTCGTGAACCACTTGGAAACGTAAAATTTTTTTTGTGTGTGTGGGCCACACAAGAGATCAATTAATGACTGGTTCCTCGGGAAACCAGTTAATTTTGTTTTCCTCGGTTCCACCCTCGGAAACAAAAGTTTTTCCCTCAAGACACGGTAGTTAAATATTGTTTCACGCTAACCTTACGGTTGTTTCCAAAGAATCTACTTTTTGCTGAAGAATACTGTTCTCCGTGTTACAAGATTCAACTCTGAAGTAAAAAGAAAATTCTAGTCAGTCAGTCAGTCAGGATATTTACAGCACCTAAAAGGAATGCAAAAAATCTAAACTAGGTATTTGAAAGGGTGCCTTTTTTATGAATAGAGGGTATACGAAAGGGGTACCTTTCCTGTCAAAAATGGAAGCTATATAAAAGGGTTGCAAATTTTCCTTTTTTGCACCTGACTTGACTACCAACCTTTTCTCCAAACCTTCGACATACTCTTTCTTCTTTCTCCGACTTTCTTGGGCGGAAAGCTAGAAGAATAAACAAATTCACATCACACAGTTAAGTTATTTTTGTATGCACCTTGGCAGGATCATTTGATAATTTTCAAGCAGTTGATATATTATATCAGAGAGCTTAAACCATTTCTGCTGCTGGACTATATACAGCTATGTTTGAAAAATCTTCGGATCTTGCCTACCTTGTTCTTAATTTTTCTTCGTATTCTCTTAAGGGCTCTTTCCTCTGCCTAGAATGTAAACAGCGGAATATGAATGAGAAATTACTGACTTGAAATACAACATGCAGTGGCAAAGGCTTTTCCGAGAAAGTCATTTCAAGTTACGGTGAACCCCTCGCCATGCATGCATACATAATTGCCAATAAGTGCATGATGGTTGGGATTGCCCCGTCCACCTCAAAGAGAGTCAAAGTAAAATAACTGAACGTCGACCATAAGGGTATTTACCAAATTTTTGAGGAAACCGTGAAGATGCTGATTGTACAATCAAATATAGTTTGCACCATTCCGTTTGGCTATGGGAAGCCTCAACAATTTTTCTTTCTCATTTGGTTTCTCCAGTTGTGTTGAATATAAACATTAGAGACGGTCCTTTTTGCAATACAAAATTCAGATTCAATTTTGAAAGTTTTACGCGCGTGATTTTCAACCGGATAATTTAAAGCTTGCGAACGCAGACGTGTTCTTTTTTCGGTCGTAGCTAAGGATCCGAAGCGGAATCGAGAAACAAGTCTGCTTTTACCCGCCATGTATCTTAAGGCAGAAAGTTGACCACATATATGATCTTGTTTTAATCAGTTTCTATTTCTGATTAGTTTTGCAAAAGCTAGGAAAGCGCTATTCTTTGTCAGCAACTGAATTAGAACCAAAGCACCAGTGTCCACCCTTATTGTTTATAGATACAGTAGCCTGAGTTATACCGACCTTTGTTAGCGGTGCTCTGTTGGGCAAAGGCAAGCCCTCAGATGCAAACGTTTCTTTCTCCTCTTCTGTCAAGTCTACTCTCCCGTTACTAGTCGTGAAAATATCGCCACTTTTGTCCTGTGGTAATAGATCGACAATCGATAACAGATGGTAATGTGAGAGAAGGGATATACCGTCCATAGTAGACTTTGGAATAGTAAATTAAATATCAGAATACAGTCGACTCGAGCTCTCTCTTAATGGACACCCCTATAAGACGGACACTTCTGTAAAACGGACACCTAAAGTTGGCCCTTGCGTTTCTCTAATCCCTTTTTTTTGACTCCCTGTAAGACAGACATCTCTGTAAGACGGACGCTTTTGCGTCTGTCCCATGAGAGCGATTTCCGTCTGTAAATTGAAGATATTTTCAGGGACGGACATCTGTTAGTCCGAGACCTCCACAAAGGTCGGCGGGCTTATCCTTTATTGGTAACCGCTAATATTTTCTTTCTATTTTTGATATTGAACAAATTTTCGTGTTCTAAACTTTTTCAAGGTTGCGGATCCCCTGCTCACTACAGTCAAGTCAACTCCATTTATAGCGGACAATCTTGGGACATCGAGTAAGTATGTAGTTAACAGTCCGTAATAGCGGGACTATGTTTCAGTCAAACGTCTTAATTGATTTTGCCGAAGATCTTCAATCGGCGAAAAAATTAAAATTAGTTTACACACTTCGCCCTTAAGGACCTCTCTAACGTTTTGCTAACTTAATAAAAGGAAAATAAACCTCTCCCTCCCCACTCCCTCCATGCAATTTTGTGCACACCTGTTCGAGCTACAGTGTAGGAAGCAGCAAACATCCTAGAGGGGGGAGGATTGTTTTGGTCTACGAAGTAACCCCATTTGTGTCCTGGTAACCGTGAAAAAGGTGTCTACAATGTGGAAATTGAGGTTTGTAGCACCGCACAACCAAAAGCATTGAACAAAATGATTTTAGTGTTCAACAGTAAAACATATTTGGGCCTCTCTAAACTAAGTTGACATCATACAGACAAGACCTTAGGGTTAGAAAATCATCACAAACAAGAGGTATATACCTTAAGGCATGTCCGCCGCTCTTCATTACCAAGTGCATGCGAATAACTCTGCTCTCCGCTGACGTCAATATCACTGACATCTGTTCCGTCACGATCTTCAAAGACGTCATCTTCCGGATAAGTTGTGGAGCTGGAATTTTTCTGTTTAAAAAAATCGAAGAAAATTGAATTCAACGATTATTGGGGAAAAAAATGATATATCTGATTTTTAAAATCTTTTTTTAAAAAAAAAAACATTAATCTCGTCTTGAATAGAAAAAAATCTTTATCATCGTTATTTTAAATTCATTTGCAAGGCGCTGTGGAGTCTGTGTTTGCGCATCGCATGCTCTTGGCCTTGTAGAAAATTTTTCAGTTGCCGCTAACCTTCTGTCTTTCGTTTTTTTTCAGTTTCAACTCCGAGTTGTTGCAAGTGAACTAAGAACTGAACCGGGAGATGCTACGTTCAGAGCGGCCCTACTGAAGCGATTTCCCGTGGAGTCTCACTAAGACTCGCTTTGATGTCGAGAACGTAGCAATCATACTTGTTGCCACGTGGGAAGAGTTTCTAGGGAAAATTTAGGAAATTCAATTTACAAAGAATTAAAAGCTAAAAAAATACCTACAGAATCAGTGGCCTAAACGCACCTTGTCCAACATTGAGGAGATCTTGTAAAGAAGATTTATATCGCTAGTTCGGTCTTTTGGCGATGATTTTTCGCAGAATATTTGAGAGGCTTTTGATGAATTTGCATTCTGTATAAAAACAATATACACGAAACGTTTCACTAATCATTAAAATGGTCAGTGCCATTGTACCAACTCGATCAATATAATGTCAAAGAAACGGTGTATCCCCCGGAACTATTTGCACAAAAACACTGTTGAGCAAGAGGCCAAGGTTAAAATACAAAATAAAAAATAATAATAACAATAGCTAAGAAAAGAAAGAAAACTTACAAAAACTGGTAATACTTTGTAAGTTGATAATTAGAGACACGGGTATAAATCGTCCGTTTTTGCAAAATTCTCAGGAAAAAAATTAATCTTGTTGTCAACGATGACGACCGCCCATTTTTTCCTAGTCACGGCACGGTCTTAACAATAAGTATTTCTGAAACAAGACTAACTGTTCACCAAATATCCACTTTCTACAGTGAATTGATTCAAACTATTTTTAATTGGAACAGTGGCAAACTTAGTTTGTGTAACCATCAATCAATCCAACTGATGACGTGATCTTCCTGTTCCGTATAGAAACTACTTCTTGGCGGTTCGAGAAGCTATAATCATTAACAACAAGCTAGAGATTTGATATGATTCGGTATTAGTTGTAGCTCTAAACCTAAATAAATTATCGTTAAACACCGACTGTTCCGACTTCTGCACGAAATTGCATGGGAGGCAAGCAGGCCCCAGAAGCTCATTATTCGACCGCAACTTGATACTCTTAAAGTTTCGAAACATGCTCGCACAATTACGTCTGCTTTGCGCGAACCAAAAAAGCCTCGCCACGTGTAGAAGTTTCAGTCTATTCTTAGGAAAAATTTGGCCGCAGTGAAATATCATTTTATTAACAAAATAAATTACAAGATATTGAGCAACTTTCCTTTTTGATACTCGAGGTGTTAAAATTGATTTGATTTTTTTCTTTGTCCGATGGGTTCGAATGTTTTGAATATATATACCGCTGCTCACCTAAATATTTTTGTCCAGTATTTCGAACCCCTATTTTTCACGTCACAATTAATGCTATCGCTCACCTTAAAGAAATTAGCTCCGGTTATTTCTTCGTATGCCTGGTTGAACGCTTCCATCGCATGAAGCCTTCCGTCTGAAAAGATAGTGCAAAATTACATATATGATGCATTATGTAAGTTCACATGCGCCAGAATGAGAAAAAAAAACACAAGAGTGAGTGACAAGAAAGTGTTAATGACATTCATAGAGAATATCGGAACCTATTAAGGACACCGACTATGTATTCAAAAACAATATGTTATTTACAGAATGTCCTCGAAGTATTTACGAGGCTAAAAGACGCAGTTTTTAAAGAAGTGTATTCTACGGCTAATTGTTTTCTATCGTGTATAAGTCCAATTCATGTGATGCACTATTTATCTATTCAATATCGACATACACGTGGATTAAAAGAGTTACTATCTCAATAATTTCAAACGTGGTTGTTTTGCATGTAAGATGGACATATCTTGTTTCGGCTCAGTTACGTTTCGTTGTGTTTTTAACACGCTTTAGTTTAGACCCCATTACTATCGATATCGCGAATGTAGCATGCCAATCTTATTTGTTCTGTACCCTTTGTCATTTGTTCACGGCCATTCCCTGACACAGTTACTAAAGAACCTTGCAACGCCAAGGACATGCAACAGGGGCACCCAACGACAATATAGTTCAAAACCACTTAAACATAGCATTGTTAAACGTATTTTAGTATTTAATCGGTAGATATAGGCATATTTTTATCCTCTAAAAATTTTTCATCTGTTCGGATTTTCTAACTGAAATTCTAGTGATCCGAAAATTAAAGGAATCAAAATTTACCTTAGCTTGTCGAAAATTTCAGCCAGAAAAAAGGCTCCCGAAAATTCTAGGTGACCTTTTTTGAGTTAAAAGTCCGTTAAAAATGGGCAATTATCCCATTTTTAGATGTTCGAAAATCCTAGGAGAGGCAGGCAAGCAAGATATTTTACAACAAATGTTCCGAAAATTCTAGATCTCAAATCGTCTTTCGAACAGATATTTTCCAAAAATTGACGTTGGGTGATAATGCAATTACTGATTGTTGATGCAATTACTATACTCGGACTCAAACGAACAACTGCCACTGGCCGTTAACATTCAGTACTACTGAAGACGCATTTCGGGGTAATCACTATGTGGTCTAGTGAAATCAAAGGAAATTAAGTTTACAAGACTTACTCATAAGAACTGAAGATACAATTTGTCATTTTGACCAGTATGCCCTGCCAACTCTATATATAATCTGAAACTTCTTGCCAGTTTTATCTCAGCAGTTTAAGTTTCCAAATTTTCCGCCAAAGATTTGTTCAAGAGGAGATAAAGAAGAGAACTGTTCTTCGTAGGCCACTCGTATTTTCAAGTTCGCGCAAAACTGAGCAGTACATTGAACTGGCCTGCGAAAACTTTGAATTCCAGTGTATATTACACTGGCTTCTCCTTTCTTATTTTCAAGATAAACACGTGAAAAGACGAATGCCGCAAAGATCTGCTAAGCGCCTGATGCGCGCACGATCTCCTGTCATGTCTACAGCTGTGTCTAATGTTGTGAACAACCTTTTTTCAAAGTTCTCTTTTGTCGTTAGTTTTATCTTCCTGAATTCAGTCGAGCGCCCTGGTAAAAATCGCCAAGAATAAACTTCTCAGTGCTCTAGTTAACTACATCAAACCACCAATACAAAGAAATTCTTAACAGTCTGTGCCTCTAAAATACTGCACGATAGACCAGCAGAGCTGAAACTAATAGATTGAAAAAGCCTTACAATTGGGTCATGGACACTTGAAGATACCCATGCATGAAGAACCAGTTCCTTCCCCTTATCATGCGTGGTATGGTTTCTTTGTAATGTGAAATGTAACTTGTAAAAATGGAATTTGTCAGTACATAATTTTCGAAAATGAAGTGAAACTTCCGTCATGGACTCTATTACAACAAGTGTTAAAGCGACACAGTCTTGAAAACCCCCAAAATGTATTTAATGAAACAATAGAAGTATTCCGGACTAATTAAAAATGTTCCTGCTTTGTTGAGAAGTACTTCGTTCAGTAGTAAAATGAAGATATTTACGTTTCTCTGCCATAAAAAGACACAACGAAAAACCACTGCAACTTAATTAAATAGTTATCCTTATTTTTAAAGTTGTGATGTGTGTTTATTTTCACGACTTGAGACTGATCTATGTCTCGTTTCGTGGGAGTCCTTTTGCACGCACTTTTAACTGAGCCAGTTCCACCAGAAGCATTTAAAATCCTTGCCTCTGATTGGCTAGATTATATTTTCTGACCAATGAGAAACAAGCAATTTAAATGCTTCTTGAAGTGGTTAGGTAAGAGTGAATGGACAGGGTGTCTAATGTTTTTCTGCAATTTATGCGTGCGACAATTTGCGTGTAAATATTGCGTCTTTTCTAAGCTGCTCCTGGGTGAGAGTAGATGTTTTTAAAAACGTGGTTCTTAATAAAGTAGCTCATTCAGTGCAAAGACTCACTATTTTTGTCTGTCTTCAATTCGTTCACTGTTGCATGAAGAAAAATCACCTTTGCTAAAGCCGGACCATACGATCGTATTTAACCTAAAGACACAAATAACAAGTTTTCACTTTACATAATCTTCGAGAGAAAGATTGATTTTGCACGATCACTTCCCGTGGGTGTGTATATACACTGTCACAGTTTCGTAAATAATCTGTTAAACAGCGTTGTCCCCCGAGGTTTGTTTACGCATCTGTCACTGGTAAAAGCCAAGTTACAAAGGACACGAGATCTTAATTTTATATTTAGCAGAATCAAAGCAAGCCGTTTGGAGAAGAGTTTTTAAGTATACAAAGTACATAATATTAAAGACGACTTTAAAGCGCCTTGTCAGGACAGCGAGAAAGATTCTGCCCTCGCGCTATATCTGCCGAAAAAGTCCTTAAGTCGACCTTCCAAAGCGCTTAGTTTACGTTTTAAAAATAGCTTTAGCTTGTTCGTGATTTTCAGCAGCTGTTGTTTGTGTCCAAGATCATACGTGTAACTTCTAAAAAAGAGCCAGTTTCTGCTTTCTCGCAGTGACATCAAGGTTAAAATATTTCATACCAGACCATGAGAAACGCGGTCGACAAACTTTTGACTACGTAGGTAAGTTTAAGCTAATAATACGCCGAGACAGTAAATTTATATCTGAAGCGTACAGAAAATTTAAACAAATTCATTCTGTGTTTAACTTCTTTAACTGTTTCTCGTTTCGAGAGCGAGGACTTCTCTTGCCGCAGGCATTAACTTCAAAGGCCAAGAAGATGTTCTCTCTCTTTCATTACACGAGATTGAAAATAAAAACAACACGAAAGATCACCTGGGCTGAAAGAATATAAAATGCTTTGCCATGTTAAGTAAAACGTCCCAGCTTTTATCGTACAAGGCCAAGTTCATTGGCGACTAATTTAAATAATAACTCTGGTCCATATTATTGCTATAAAATAAAGGATCACTTAACAGGCTTTCAGAAATAGGAAGAACATAAGTTAAAGCACGTACCAACCCTTTCTCCGGTCGTGGAATTGCGCGAAAACACAAACGTTGCCTCGTGTAGGCTATATTGAGAGTTCACAATACGCAGATCATCTGTAAAGGACTAAAAATCAAAATTTTCAATATTCCCCTTGTTATGCAAATAAAGGTCTATTAGCAATGCAGGCCACCCGTGCCCGACCAGTCAAAAAACAATAAAAGCTCGGGCAATATGAAGGGGATATGGTTATTTATTCAAGGCTGGCTTATTTTCTCAATTTTCCGCCACAGTTAACACGTTGCCAACTTCGATCAGGGACGAGAAACTGACACGTGGCAACAGTGTGGTTACGAGCCTCGAGTCATGAGTGAAAACGTGGCGCTTTTTATTAATACCAAAACACGGTGTTCTCAACAGTCATATAGAAAAACTAAATCAAGTGAAAATTTTCACTGAAATACCTGCCATAAATCGATAAACTTTTTCAGTGGGAAGTGGGAGGCTCGTCCTAATCTTGGATTTTAATATTTCAATTTTGTTTGATGTTTTTCTTCGCTTGATCGCGAACCTTGCAGCGTGTCAATCGATTGTGACTCGGAAATTACAGCTTCGCAATGTATTTTTTTGTTAGCGTTCTCGGCTATTCGTGTGCAGCTTGAAAGATGCGCTTTGAATATCTTGTCTCGTAAATAGAAAGCCAGACCAGAGTTTGCAACAGTGAAAACGACGATTAAAATCACTTTTAAAATTTGCGGTAAACCGCGTGGATATGTTAATAAAGAATTACACTAGTAGGAAATAAGCGCTCATTTCTTATGTTGCTTAGCTGCAATTGAATTTTAGCTACCACGCACATATTTCTCAGGTGCCAAGCTAACCCGATATGATATAGAAAGAACAAAATAATATATTCTAAACGAGCACCACAATTAGGAGAATAACTCTTGAATCATCTTCACAACGGAAGCAGCTTTACAACAAACTTTTTAGGCTGCAAAACCTAAACATAAACTTCTTCCACGAAGGAACAAGCTGAAATGGCCATAAAAACGATAAAACTTATAAATGGACCGTGTTAGAAGCCTGAGCTATTTCTTTCCATAGTCTTGACAAAACCATTTTCTGTGTTGAATAATTTAGCTTAACGTTTATTTCGTTGAGTCGCCTTCAGTGCCAAGGTCGAGAACAAAAGATTAGATTGGTTCGTATTAATTTGTTTCCTCGTGTTCTCGGGTATTCACCATGCAGTGGGCGCTATTTATTAATTTTAACCTATTCGCTTGATACTTAATCGTTTAGCTATCTGTACAGCGAACCCAGGTCGGTTAAAATTGTTCAGATACTTAACATATAGCAAAATATCTCGATACTTATAATCGCTTCAGCCAAGATAACTATATATCATTACTAAGCTCAGAAAATCACTAAGAATATTAAGACAGGTTACACTCATGTCCCGTAGAGTTAGTTACAAAGACACGGACCTGAAGGAAAAATACCTGAACCAATAGATAAGAAACAAACAAGTCAGTAAGTAAATAAAACATTTGCTAATAAAATAAACCACCCTATCAGACTCTTTGAATGG